AGCCACACGCCCTTGACCTTCCAGGGGCCCGTCCAGCGGTGTCGGTCCCTGCCACGCCAGGCTGGGCCACATGCACCAGCGGCCACATCCATTCATGCGCTGACTCACTCTGGAGTCCTTCAAGCCTCAAAGACCAGTGTGTGCAAGGGGGTGGGTGACACGCAGCGCCCAGCAAGGGCGGAGCCCGGGCTGCTCCCACCGCTCACCAGCCGCACCAGGCTGGACCAGCGCTGCTGTCTTCCTCTCCCTAGCAGGCAGGGGGCCAGGAGAGGACTACATCAGGACCTTGGTGCAAGGTTCAAATGCTTGTAGAATGGAAGTGCGCAAGTTAAGAACTCGCAGTGTTAAGAAGGCTGCCAGGTTCCTAAGAAGCACTTTGGCATGTGTTAGCTGCTACATTAAGTAAATAAGAATAATTTTCGGGGAGATAGCTCAGTGGAATAAGTGGTTGCCTGGCAAGCACAAGGTCCTGAGTTCAATCCCTGGTTCCACTAAAATAAATAAATAAATAATTAAAAAAAAAAAAAGAATAATTTTCCAAAAGGCCCCTGAAGGGCCGGCCAAATAGCTCAGCAGATTAAAACGCCTGCAAGCAGGCACAGGGGCCGGGGGTTCGATCCCTGGGCCTGTTGTGCCGGCCCCACCCCCACGGGTGCACAGAGACAGTAATTGAGACTGGGCGTGGTGGCACGTGCCTGTAATCCCACCTCTTGGGAGTCTGTAAACAGGTGATCACTACAAGTCCTGATCTAGTAGTGAGACCTTGAACACACTATAAACTCTTCCCTAAGATACAAAAAAAAAAAAAAAAAAAAAAAAAAAAAAGGCCATTGAGATAGAGTGCCTTGGGCTCAGAGTGGGGCATGTGTGCATCTAGGTAAACCAAGCGGGCTGCATGGAGGACAAGACAGAGCGAGTCTTTTTTTTGCAGAACCAGGAATTGAACTCAGACCCTTGTGCTTGCCAGGGAACCGCTTATTCGCTTATTCCACTGAGCCATCTCCCCAGTCCTCGCCTCAGGACTCATCAGACTTTTAAAAACACATCAATCCTGCTGGGTGTGGTGGTGCACCCCTGTAATCCCAACACTCGGAGGCTGAGGCACGAGGATCTTGAGCTCAAGGCCAGTGTGGGCTGCAAAGTGAGCTCAAGGCAGCCTGAACCGCATAGTGAGACCCTGTCTCAAAAAGGCCAAAACAATAGATAAATCCCCAGCACACATGGCAACCAAGAGACACAGAGTCTGGGGGGAGTAAAGGGGAATTTAAGTTCTCTGAGCTCTTCCCCAAGGCAGGTGCCTGTCTGCCTTAGCGCCCATTTGCCCAGCGCTTTCCTGATCCCAACGCTAGGAACCCGCCCTGCCCATTCTTCCCGAGCGTGCAGAAGAGTGCCTACAGGGGATGCGACTAGTCAGCCTCCACCTTGGGGAATGCCAGGAAGAGGGAAAGAGCCACCCCTACCTGCCACCTGCAGACACTCCAGGGGAGTAGCAGCTGCCAGCTAAAGGGACCATGGGGAGAGTGTCCCCCACAGACCGAAGAGAAGTACACTGGGAATGCAGAGGGGATCAGCAGGTCTCTTCAACAACAACCACAAAGTAATTCCCTAGAGAAAAATCCTACTTCCTTCTTCCTGTTCATGGACTCAGAGCTTATTGGAAATTCGTAGTCAGAATGTGACTAGGTCAGGATAAATGTCCCTTAAAGGGACCTGTTTTGCTGAGAGAGGCTGAGTGGTCCAGAGCACCCCTTCCTGTGGTGGCCTAGATGACCCTTTGCAGGGTCACCATGACCATGGTCCAGCTTCTACTGGCAAAAGTTCCTGGACTGCGTTTTCCAGTTGACCCTCAGTGGGGTCAGCGGATACTCAGAGGGGTAAAGGGAAACGTTCAAGGTCACACAGCAAGTGGATGGAAATCCAGTGTGGTGTTCACAAATTGTGCCCTCTCCACTGCCCTGCCAGCTCCTCAGTGCCACTGTGCCCAGAGGGATCGGGGGCAGAGCAGAAACAGGCTGATAGGGAGGTTCCAGAAGGTCCCCCAGGACTGTGGTCAGGAGGCAGGATGGCCCTCCTGTGCCTGGAAGGCAGAGGCTGCACTGGGTCTGGGGCCAGGTGGCCTGGGCAGGGAGGGAACGGCAGGGCTGTGTGGGGCTCAGTGGATGGTCGACAGGGCCACCCAGGGCACCCTGCTGGCTATAGGGCCCCACAGGGTGGAGTAGGGAACAAGGGCATGGCCCTCAGGTGGACCCGGGCCTGGGAGCCACTAGGCAAATGCTCGGTCTCTCTGAGGCTCGCTTTCCCATCTACAGAAAGGGATGGTGACTGCTGACACTAGGGCCTGTGGCAGGAGGAAGAGAGACGCTCACGGTGCCCACTGTAGTCATCAGCCCAACAGGCCCTCTTGTCCCTGCAAGGACCAGCAAAGACACTTGCAGCAAGAGCTCAGCCTCGCTCCTAGAGCAGGCTGCCTTCTCCCAGTCCTGTGAGCCTCCGCAGGTGGGGATTGTGCTCCCTCGCAGGGGGGGGGACATCGGCACTGCCTGGGGGTGCTTTTGGGGTTGGCACGACTGGGAGACTGCTGTAGGCATCTTGTGAGCAGAGGCTAGGGATGCATCTGAATATCCTACGATGTGCAGGACTGTCCCCTACATAAGGGTTATCTGGCCCCAAGCGCAATAAGGCTGAGATTGAGAAACCCTGTGCCAAACTGGCCATGGAGGCGGACATCTGCAATCCGAACACTCAGGAGGATGAGGCTGGAAGATCCCTGAGTTCAAGGCCAGCCTGGTGCACATAGCAAGCCCCCGACGAGAGAGAGAGAGAGAGAGAGAGAGAGAGAGAGAGAGAGAGAGAGAGAGAGAGATGCTCCACACTCATCTGGCCTGGGCAGTGCCCACCAGTTCACGTGGCCATGAGTGTGTGCAATGTGCCCAGTGCGCTCCTAGCTGTGCTGTAAGTGTAACATGTAGGATTTCAAAGACTTAGTATAGAAGGTAAACTATCCTATTAATAATCTGCATATTGGGCCGGCCAAGCAGCTCAGCGGATTAAAGCACCTCCAAGCAGGCACAGGGGCCAGGAGTTTGATCCCTGGCAAGTAAGACTGGGTGTGGTGGTGTGTGCCCATAATCCCAGCTCTTGGGAGGCTGTAAACAGGCAGATCACTTCGAGTCCGATCTAGTAGTGAGACCCTGAACACTCTGTAGACCCTTCCCTAAAAAATACAATAAATAAATAAATAAATCTGCATATTTGGATATACTGGGCTAAATAAAATATAGCATGAAAACTAATTGTACCTATTTATTTTAAGACAGTATGGACCTCAGAACATTGAGAATGACAGAGGGGCATGCATATGATTTCTTGGGGACACTGGTGGCCTAGTCGCCTTGGTGGCCTAGGCTGGGTAGGATCTCAAGGTGGATGGGGGTCCGGATCCTGTGGCCAGTGGCTTGACTCCAGGAAGGGCAAAAGGGCCATCACAGCTCTGGCCTGCCTGCCCCCTACTGGCTGGTACCTCTCACAGCGGGTCAAGGGGCTGAGCACAGCCCCTCCCGTGCTCCCCACCCCCACTGGGCTACCTGGCCAGCCTTCCAGGCAACACCAAAAGTGTCCAGGCAAACAAACAGGCGGGTTTGGTGACAGCTGTGGCTTAGAGACCTGAGCACTTGGCTCCCAGCCCACTCTGGGTAGTGCCCAGTTCAGAGCTGGGAGGGTTCTCTCAGAGCCCAGGGTGCCAGGACCTCACTCCGCGGCTCTGCTGGGACGCTCGGTGACCACCCTGCCTGAGGTTAATGCTCAGAACCATGGAGGTCCAGGCAGAAGTTGAGACTCAGGCCAGGGGCAGGATTGCAGAGGTCCTGGGCACAGATGGGGTCGTGGCGCGAATGCCTGCTGTGGAGGTGGCAGGGGCGGCAGGTCAGGTGGCCAGGACAGCCAGGACCTCGGGGATGGAAGAAGCAAATGTGCTGGGGAGAGTATGCAGGGGGCCTGGGAGAGCAGGTGCTCCAGGTGGCAGAGTGTGGAGTGATGTGGCAGAGGCTAGGGGGCTAAAGATCACTGGTCCCACAACTGGGTCCTGCCTGCGGGCACTGAACCCTCCCCCGGGGATAAAAACATGTCAAATGCTTGTTATAGAGGTTGCAGGTTAACCCCAGCATAATCCACCCTTCACTCCGCTGGCCACGCCTTTCCAAGGCCCTGTCCGCACAGCAGGGGGGCTGGGCCAAGGTGCTTGTTGTGTCCTTGGGGTCCGACCCTATCCCTGTTGTTTCAGAAATCCTGCACTCTACCAAGTTAGCGGATAGAGAGGTGGGAAGCGGACAGGATCCTGAATCTAGTGTTCTCCTGGAGATCGTGCCCCTGCACCCAGAATCTCAGGCCCTTAGCCCTCAGAAGGTGGTCTCTCTCTCTCTCCCTAAAGTGAAGTCAGGGAAGGCATTCAGGGACACGGAGCTCAGGAGCAGTCCCTGAAGACAGGCAGCCACCCACAGCCCCAGGACGGTGAAATTGGAACCTTAAGCACCCCAGGAGCCAGATTCTGCCCTGGGGCAGTTCCCTGTGGTCCGGCCTCAGCCCAGCACACCTCCAGGGTGTTCCGCTGAACAGAACGTGGGAAGCACGGGCTGGGCTGGGGTGGGCTGAATCAGGAGAGCTGAAGGGAAGTGAAAGGGGAGTGGGTGGTGGAGAAACAAGGGGCACCAAGGTCCCCTGGGAATGGGGGTGGGGAAGGTCAGAGAGTGGGGAGACCGGGGGAAGTGCAGGGTCTTGGACAGGAGTCCCCAGAGAACTGCGAGAATCCCTCCCAGGAGGGGCTGGAGATTTCAGGAAATTGGACAGAAGGTTTAAGGTTGCCAAGTTTCTGGGAGCCCCAAGTGGAGGGGCAGCATGAGGTCAAGTTGTCCAGCTCTCCGAGTCGGGGGAGGGGGCGGTCTCGGGGTTTGTGTCCCAGCGCTGGGGTCGGAGGGGTTTCCAGGTGGACGCGAAACCCAGCTCACCTGTAGACATCGGTCCAGAGCTGCGTGCCCAGCACGTACACCGCCTCGACGCGGGCCCCGAACTGCAGCCGCACCGTCCGCTCGCGAAGCATCTTCCCTCCCGCAGTGCCTGGTCAGGTACCTGCGCTCTCCTTCCAGACCACCCCAGCACCTGTGGCAGGTGAGTCCGCTGCAGCAGCCTGCGTCCGCTCGGCGCCAGAGAGCTGCCTTATCCCGCCGCCGGGGGGGCGTGGAGTGGGCGTGGCCTCTGCCTGGCTCCTTTCCCATTGGGTCCAGTGTGGCCCCGCCCTCAGGTCGCTCCACCCCTTTACCGAGATCCGGGTGATGTCACCAAGTAGGCCCTGCTTTGCACAAGTGGCTTGATCTTCATTTCATTCAGCAAACCCTGTCTCCCCTCCAGATCCCCCAGCCTAGTGGGTCAGAAAACGCAACGTGGAGCTTACAGAGGAACAGGACAAGAGTTTGTGGGAGTGCAGGGAAGGCTCCTAACCCAGTTTGGGGTCCAGGAAGGCTTGTCAGAGAAAGGGACCCTTGAGCTCATTTGTTTTCCAACCCTTTCTAAATGAGAGAGAGAGAGAGAGAGAGAGAGAGAGAGAGAGAGAGAGAGACTTGCTAAATAGCCTAGATGCCTAGTGCCCAGACAGGGCTATGGCTTGTGATCCTGTAGCCTCAACCTCCTAGAGTGACTGGGTTACAGGTATGCACCGCGCACTAGGCTGCCTCAGCCTTCTGCAGGAGGCATTTGCAGACTCAGGGGAGGAGAGGTAGCCTGCTGACCAAAGCGATAGCCCTATCCTCCCAATCGGACCGCTGTTGCCATAGGGAAACTGGGGTGAGGGCTTGGAGGGGGGAAGTCAGCAGATGACAGGGCTGAATGCCAGGCAGGGCGTGGGTGGGTGGAGGGCGGGAGCCCCGGATGATTCCTGGGGAGGAGGACAAAGAGCCATTGGCTGCCTTCCCCTCCCTGGCGAGGAAGCCAAGCACAGGCAGTGCAGACCCCGCAGGGAGCGTGAGAGGTCTGCAGAGGAGGGGATTGAGCGGACCGGTGTTTATGGGCTGAGATCTGGGTAGCGCCTGGTGACCGACAGGATGTGCCAGTCGAGGGGACAGAGAGAGGGTGGAGATTAGGGCTCTGGGCCTGGGCCAGGCCGCCGAGGGGAGTGCCACCGTGGAGGTCAGGTCGTATTCTGTGGGTGCAGAGATGTGTGGGTGAAAGCACACTCAGCCCCCCAGCCCAACATTCTGCCCAGGGGCTCAAATTAGGAGATGGATGGGAGCCTGGCTGCTTTCCAACATGGGTGGGGAAAAGGGAACCCAAGTCCAGGCTGCCCCCCCTCCCAGCACCACAGGCTGGTGACTTCTGCTTGGCCCCTGGTGGCCTTCATGGTTGCATCCGCCAATCAGAGCTGATTTCGAGGCCCACGGAGGTGGCTCAGGCCTGGGCAGCCCCTGCCCCGAGTTCCTCTTGGGGCCTTACTGTGTGTGGCAGGTACTGAACACAGGCCAGGTACCCATTTTTCTGGGGGACATAGAACACCACTGGTTCATTTCACCCATGGGACAGTGGGGTCTTGAGGGGACGGGGTAGACTTGGTGGAGGCAGGTCATGCCAGGGTCAGCACAATGGTGACACTGGGCAGAGTGACTGCCAGCAGAGAAGTGGTGGGTACTCACGGTCCTTTCCGTGGGCTGTGCTGTCCCAAGCGGCACTTGTCATTAGAATCAGTGACCCCACATTACAGAGGAAGACAGCACAGAGAGGGTAAAGAAGTTGCCTGAGTTGCACAGCTTCTGAGAACAGCAGAGCAGGATGGGGACTTGGGGGCCATTGGGCTGGTGGCAGGGACCAGGCAGAGGTCCTCTCAGCCTTATTCTTGGGCAGCTGTGGGCAGGCAAATGAACTGTCTCTCAGCATGATGTCACCATAATGTTAAATAAGACAGTAGGCTGGGGATATAGCTCAGTGACACAGCGCTTGCCTGGCAAGCACAAGTCCCTGAGTTCAAGTCCTGGTACCAAAAACCCCACAAGAAAACAAGACAGCCATATGCAGAAATGAAGCCCCCACTTTAAACAGTCCAGCCCTCCCCAGCCGCCCACACACGAGGTTGCTGCTTCTGTCTCTGGCTCACCCGGCAGGGCCCAGAGCCTGGTGGACAGGCCAGGAGTTTCCTGGTGCTCAAGTTTTTAAAATAGCTGAAGTGGTCACAGCTGTTGCTGGATTCAGGGCCGGAGGTCGCACACATCTCTGCCCATCCCGCTGCTCCCCAGGGGCCGGGCCTGGGAGAGCCACAAGGATTGCATAATACCTTCTTTGGGAAGCCAGCAAAGGGCAGACCTGGCTTGAGCCAGTCCTGGCGCTGAGGGACCCACACCTCCAGCAGCTTCCACCTCTGCCAAGCAGGTGGCCAGAGCTCCAGCACTCCTGGGCTGGGGGTGGGGTCCCCTGCTGTTTCTTTCCTGATCCTTCTGGGGGTGGTGGGGGTCTCTTAGGGTCAAGCCTGGGGGACCCTGGCTGGAGTGGACACCAACATCCACAGCCTGCTTTGAGGACTTTCACTGTGTGTGCAGGAGTGTGGAAAGGAAGGTAAACGTGTGATCACCCAGGACTGGGCCTCGAGGTCCTTGCAACGCCTGCCCCAAGCTGGTGCAGAGCTGCTGGGTGCCCGCACTTCCTGAGCCTCGACAGCAGAGCCCTAGGAGGTGGGTTCTGTGGTCACCCCTGGTTGGCACAGAGGCACTGAGCCCCCAGTTGAGAGGAGCGGACCTTTGGACTTGGTACCCTTGAGTGGTCAGCTCTGGCTCCTTCACTCCTCGCTGGGGACCTCTCTATTTCCTTCTCCCTAAAAGAGACAATGTAAGCGGAGCCCAGGATTATGGACAGTGAAGCGATGGTGCAGGCTCCGCATATCCCAACCCAGCACCCTGCCAGGTCTCGCAGATGCGTGTGGACAGTTGTTTGAAGCTTGTGCAAAGGGGGCTTCTGACATTCTGTGCCATTTTATAATGCTCTTCAAAGCTTGTGCAACGTGAGAGGCGGCTGTGTGGCCAGGGCACTCAGAGCCTGGGGAGCCTGGGAAAGGCTTTCAGGCTTTGTCCTAAGGTCATGTGAAGCCACAGAAGGACTATGGAATGGGGCTATGGCACGATGCGCGCTTTAGGACAATTGCACTGGCTACTGCGGGCAGCTGAACCTGGCAGGAATTCTGGCAGGAGACAGAGCGGCCAGGCTGCGGGGCCTGTGCCCTCCCCACCCGACATGGCGTGCTGTGGGGTCTTGCAGGGCTGTCCGCAGGAGCAGCATCCACACGCTGCCTTGCCCCGCTCGCTCCTGTCCTGCAGCCTCAGCAGAGCCCACCTTCTGGTTCCAGCCCCCTGGGAGGTGTCTCTGGCCAACTATGAGGGAGGGCAGGGCCCCACCCTGCAAGACATCTCCCTCGATGCTAGGTAGCTGGGTGTCCCATCACTCAGATGTGCTGACACGGCAAAGACACAACTCTTTTCTGCTCCCCCTGGGCCTGCGCTCCCTGGGAGGATGAGTGGGAGGAGGAGAGACGCATTTTAGTACACTAGTTCACAGGACTGTGGGCCTAGAGGTCTAGACATCTGGGTAGAATGGTTTTTTTTTTTTTTTTTAAGTTAAGGATTGCAAACTTTATATCTTTCTTTTTTT